GTGTCGCTGTGGCCCATAGCGACACTAGCTTTTTTTTTTTTTTCATTTTTTTGGGTTATTGGGTCTCTTTTTTTCTCCAGATTTATTCTACCAGTTTTTCTTTTTCATTTTTGTTTTTCTACATTTTTTTCCTTCACTTATTTTTTGCCCAGTTTTTTTAAATAAAATATATCTGTTAAAAATTATTATATACTCAACATTCTAGTAAATTATATTATCAATTTCATATAAATATATATTTATAAATTTATTATTTCTATAATTTGTTTATTTTATACATATCTATAGCGCCACTATTTTTTTTTATTTGAATTATTTACTTAATTATTTTTAAAATTTATTTATTTTATATTACAAATTAAATATTAATTTCTATTTATAAACTTATTTTTTGTGTAATTTCTTTTCTTTATATATATTTTTTTCCTTTAGATTATTTTATCACGAATTAAATATGTACTTTATTATTTATCACAGTGGCGCTTTGGCCTATAGCGACACTGTGTCGCTATAGGCCATAGCGCCACTATTTTTTTTTTTTTTAAATTATTAACTTAATTTTTTTTTACATTTGAATTTATTTTTTTTAAGCCGTTTGGTGGCGCTATGGGCTATAGCGACTTTATTTAAGCCATTTAGTGACGCTATGGGCTGTAGCGACTTTATCTATATGGCTTTCATGGCTTCCGTGAAGTGAAAAAAATGCCACGTGTCACCGGTGTCGCTATGGCTCATAGTGACACCGTTATAAATAGCCCCAAAGGCGTAAATAGTTTCAAAACAACCCCATTTACGTAATAAACTTTTAAAACAACCTCATTTTGGTCAAAAAGCCGCCTGATCTAGGATATGTTTGCTCCAATGAGATTTAAGTTTATCAATTTGGTTGAATTATTTGATATTTCTTTTCAACTTATTCTTATTATACGTCATAGACTATAGTGATATATATCTTCCTGTTTAAGATCCTTTTTGTTTGGTGATTTGATTACTTGCTGCATCAATGGAACAGTAGACATTTTGCTTTGCGTGATTAGCCAGCCAACAGTCTCTATATTCCACGTACATTTGTACTATGTTAAGTTAGGGATTTGTACAGGCAATCGTACTTTTTAAATCGTATTCAACAAAGCAAAAAGGGATAATTTCTGTGTATAGTCATAATAGTTGGTACTTACTTAGTGGACGGAACTACCTTTTTTTTGTGATTGTGACTGATGCTATAGAAGATGAAAGTAATTTAGCTGTACGAAAAAATAGCTATTTTGTATAAAGAAAAGTAGTTTCATACTTTCATGCTCCACCTCCGAGCAGTTTTACACCTATTCTCTAGCCGTCTGTTTGACAGTAAAATTGCCTTGACACGCACGCTGCATGCAATGCTTGTCGGACACTTAGGACCAGTCTAAACACTAAAATAGAAATTATTTTTTGGCTTGGACTCACGCTATTTGTAGGGAACTACTTTATAAAATTTGTTGGAAAATGGAGTAATTATGTCAGTAGAGTAATTACTACAACAAATAGTTTGTGGTTTGTAATATTTTTTTCATGCATGTATTTTTACATTCAAAGCACTTAATAGTTTTTGGGAGTTATTACTCACTGTATCACATGTATCATGAGTGTATTGTGTACATAGAAAATACTAATGTATTAGTGCATTTGCAAATTGCAACCAAGTCAAAAAGTCAAGAAAAATTTCTTCAGAAAGTTTTTGTGTTTTCCCTTTTCTGTCCATCCTTATCTCCCGGAGAATTATCACTTACCGACTTTTATGTCATGTCTGTTCTGTTTCTTTTCAGGAAAAAGTGATTTGCTGTTCTGAACACAATTTATACTAATCGAAATGCTATGTCGGGTCATTTACATCTCTGCATATATAATATATTTTTCCGTATATGTTTTTGCTTTTCACTCAACTGAGAAATTTTTTTTATTTGTCCAATACCTTAGAGAATATGACTTTTAGGAATGATGATAAATGGATGCATCCTGAGTTTATGGTTTTTTTGACTATTTTCATAATTCCAGCAGATAAAATTTGGAGTTTTCTAAGAACAAAAAGAATGAAAACTGCTGATATTTCATGACCAAATCTTTGATAGCGTTTGAAAACTTGATCTGATGAGCTTCCACACTCAATTAGAATTTTCCATAATTCCATAATAAACTTAACAGTCTAAGTATTTTGTTTAGCATACATTATTTGCAATTTTATTCTCTATCACTGTATAGATATTAAAGCTTGGATACTAGCATGAGTGAATTCTGGAAAAACTAATTTTTTGTAGGTATAAAATAGTATATTAACACCTTTATATTACTGGGAATAAAAATCTTAAATTAATATATTAATGTATAATAATTACATATAATCTGCATATCAAATTATTCATTAATAAGAAAGAGATAGAGGATAATTTAATCAATTTATTTTCCAATACAACTATAAAATATGAAAAGCTGAACTTTCAAGACCAAATCTTTTGACAGCATTTGAAAACTTTATCGGCAGAGCTGCCAGAAAACAAGCATATCATTAGATTAGACTTTTCTGTATATCCGTAGTAAATTGAACATTGGAAGTATTTTGTTTAACGTTCATTATCTTCAACCTGTTTAAACTTTAAAGATATTTCCAGCGGCAGGATGATATGGTGGCCTTTTGATGCAGCCAACTGAATAAAAACCATTCGTAATTGATCCCTGGGATTTGTGGTGTAACATTCATTAGTGACTGCATTAGAAAATCGGTGACGTCAGTTTCCTGGAATATCAATCCGACAGGTCAATTCTAGAATATGGATTTTTTTTAATAATTTCCATATTGAGGATAAGAAATCCATATCCACCCCCACAATCAATAGACCAACAATTACGTCTTTAGTCTGTATCTTTGATTATTATTATCTCTCTTTCTCTCTCTCTCTAATTTAACCAGATACCTGATTTTAACAAATTTCTATTTCGGCTATACTTATGACCTCCATTGGGAATGATTTCAACAAAAAGCAGTAGTGAATATGTTGTTGAGAAATTATTCAAAGTTTTTTTATAATTAGATTCGTGAGGAATAATATAAATGCGGAGTAATATCACTGATAATAGAACTCTTTAATAGAAATTTTTTAATTGTTGCAGATATATTAATAATAAAAAAGAAAATATAAAGTATTTATAAATACTGCTCACAATCTAAATATAACCAAAATATTAATTGTCTAATAATTTTTCTTTCCCCTTTTTTTCCTTTCTTTTCTCTCAAAGTTGAAATACATAGGAAAAACTTAAAGCATGTTTACTATTAGTCATTTACTACTATTCACAATTTTTTTTTAATGTTTTTCTTAATTTTATTAATTTCCTTATTTTTCTCCAAAAAAAAAACTACACTTCTTTTCTTTATTTGTTATCTTTTTACCAATTCCAACATATGTCACCAATATATTGTGATGTTAGGGAAACTATTTGGATGTAATCATAAATGAATCTCTTTAAAAGGATTTATTAAGATGATTTAAACAAACTCTTTCATCTTTTAGGTTTAGGATCGATAGATAAATTATTATTTTAAACATAATTTGAAATAGATCTGTTGAGAAGTTATCGAGATGATATAGGTTACTCAACCTATTACACAAGTCGGACTAAAATCGGCGTATATAACTTAACTTATGATCCAACAAATATTTTTCAAGAAATGTTGAAATAAACCCAATTCTAATAATTTTGGACCAAATCTTATATTGAGTAATCAATATAAGTGAATCCCTCGACATTTTGTCGAGAGGATTTGGTTGAGAGTTTTTGGTCGAGTATTAATCACACTCTTAATAAGATCAGGTAATGTGACTCCTCAGGAGATGTTGACATAAACTCAATTTGAGGCTCATATATGACACAAAATCTTGTCTTTATTAGCCAAAGGCTCGTGATATATAAACTTTCTTATTTTATAAGTACACCTCCCTTCATTTTTTTTTAAAATAAATTTCTAAAATATCCTTTAATTTTTTTTATTCTTTTGTTTTTTATTTTAACACCAACATTCAATTTAACACTTTTTCCTTCATTTTCACACCCCCTTACCTTCCCCTACTCCCCACCTATTTTAGTAAATAATTTTAATTTTTATATTTTTATATTACTCTCTTCTCCAATTTTAGTTATCACATTATTACCATCTCCCTCCTCTCTTTTAATTTTCACACACACTCAAGATGTAGAATTGGTACCCCTAACAACGTTATATGTGTGAGTGACTTTCTCGACAATGTCAAAGGTGTCAAACCAAATATGCGTTTTTTTCCAAGTACTTTCCCCCATTTGTACATCTAGAAATTAAATTTAGTGTTCCAACTTCCAAATAATATTTATGTTTTGGAAAGTATTTTCTGGAATAATGAAATTAATGTTCTAGAAAGTATTTTTTAACATACTTTTGGAAAGTAATTTTCAGAACAATAAAATTGGTGTTCTAGAAAATATTTTTAAGAAATATGTTATTTTACATTATTTCAAAAAGTTATTTATAGCTATAACAGTAAGTTTATTATTCTCGAAAGAACTTTATGAAATTATGTGATACAACAGACTTCTAGAGTGTATTTCCTGGAACTATTCGAGTGTATGTTGTAACGACCCGCCATGATCTCTACACTTAATGGAATCGCACTACTACTAGTGAACTAAGAAAATATTAAGTTGGATAACTCATACATACAAGTATATATATAAGAATAAAAATGACTAAATTTCTTAAATACAAAATAAAACGTCATATATGTACATTCATTCCAAAATAATATTTTCTAGTGCCGAAGAAGCTGGCAACGTCAAGGTGCGTATTTCACTTCTTAGACTTACACTATGCCTATGGTATACTTTACATTAATTAAATTGTAAAGTTATATTAAATTATGCACCAACTTCCACCCAGAAATGGACAATAAAATATTGCTAATGTCCAAAATATAAGATACCACACATGTTACTAACATACTTAAAATAAATATATAATATTATTATAATATTATTATTTTAAAAATATATAATTTGTTATTGAATAGTATTATTCTGAACAAATAATTATCTAAATATTAACATTATTATATATATATATATGATCAAGTCAGATATCGTGGATAAAAAATACAAAACTAGTTATTTAGATAGTATAATTTCAAATTTTCATCGAATTGAGTTGAGTATTAAAAAAATCTGATTTAAACTCATTAATTTTAATTAGTTCAGATTTGCAGATTTTCTGTACTTGTCTACACCCCAAATTCTCTTAACTTGTGTTTGACTCATTAAAAAAATGTTCAAGTTGTGTGCAAAAGGTGTCTCAGATGTGTCAAAGAGGTGCTAAAAACAAATAATAATAATCTTTAATGATGGTACAGTAGAGAAGTGTTGGATGGTGTTCAAGATGTGTCCAACAAATACCCTGTCGGAAACGTTGACACATGATGTGTTTTGCAGAAGTGTTTGTAGTTGATAGTTAATCACTTTAACCTATAATTTCTTCATTTCATTTGTGAACAGAGATTTTTTCCATCTGAATTTGGGTTGGATGTGGACCGTCACGAAGCAGTGGAGCCATTTAGAGAAATTTGCGAGGAAAAAGCAAAAATACGAAGAATGATTGAAGCCGAAGGAATTCCTTATACTTACATATGTTGCTTTGCCTTTACTGGTTACTACTTACGTAACCTGTGGCAGCTTGACACTGTTGTCCCTCCTCGGAACAAGGTAGTCATAGTAGGAAATGGAAACGTGAAAGGTAATATATATAGTTGAATTAGTTGCAAACGTTTTGTTTTAGCACAAGTGATGTATATTAACTAGACACAAGACACAACTCAATTGCTTCAATGTGTTCATAACTACATATTATAATTTACTTGCGTTCAGGAGCATTTGTGACTGAGGCTGATGTGGGCACTTTCACCATCGAAGCAGCGAACGATCCTAGAGCCTTGAACAAAGCCGTCCACATAAGGCTCCCTGCCAATTATTTGACCTCAGATGAAATCATCCCTTTGTGGGAGAAAAAGATTGGGAAGACTCTTGAGAAAATTTATGTTCCAGAGGAACAAGTTCTCAAGGAAATTCAGAGTAAGTAACAACATTCATTTTATAGGAGTAATGTTACATCATTTTTGTGAAACTAACCATCTCTTTATTTATGATGTTTTTCCTTTTCTGCAGAGTCTTCTTTCCCAAATAATTACCTCTTGGCGTTGTATCACTCACAGTTGATAAAGGGAGATGCGGTTTATGAGATTGACCCAGCCAAAGACATTGAAGCATCTGAGTTTTATCCCCATGTGAAATACACAACCGTTGATGAATATTTTAATCAGTTTGTCTGATTTTTTAATTACCCAACTTTAATAACTCTGCTTTGCTTCTGCCTAATAAAACAGGATAAAACTAGGTCTTGTTGGTAATGTTAATTAAAGAAAAGTATCATAAGTAAACAAATGTTATTTTAACTTTTTTGCCTCAGTTATTTCAATAAAGGCATGCAGGGTTTGTAGTTTGCCAGCAGGCCCGTTCTGAAATCAGAACGGCCCATTCCGGGACTCATCTGGAACGGCCCGTTCTCCTTCCGAAACGGCCCGTTCTCCTTCAGTAGTTTGGAACGGCCCGTTCTGACTACTGAATTTTTTTTTTCTTCTTCTACGTTACATATGTGAAAACCGAAAGAGATGAGAGAGGAAGAGAGTAATGTGCAAACCTAAATAATTAAAATTACTCGCTAAAATAGGTAGAGAGTGGGAGAAGACAATTTGATGTATGTGAAAACTGAAAAGGAGACGAAATGAGGTATGTGGAAAAGAAGAAGAAAGTGCTAAATTAAAAATTGAAAGAGTAAAATTAAAAAATTAAAGAATAAAAAATAGATTAAGGATATTTTAGGATTTTTTTAAACAAAGAAAGTATATAGGGATGACAAAATGGATCTGGACTCTACAAGCACCCGCAAAAACATCCACATGCGAGACATGCAAATATTTGCTTATATGGGGATGGGTACGAGACAGGTATAGACCTGCAAAATTTAGTAGGTACGAGTGCAAGTATGGGTACTATGGTACCTAACCCGCCCCACCCCACAATTACATATATATATATATATAATATAATATAATATAATCATTTAATGATTATTTATTTATATATATATATTAAATATATATTAATTAGTATAATAATATTGCTATTATTTTAGATTTAAGATACAAGTTGAAGTTGTTAGAGTACTTTTTCCCTAATTTTTATGTGAACTCATCTTCAATTAAAATTAATAATATCAAAAAATTATGCTACTCATTATTTAAAGAATATCAAACTAAAGCTAAGAGAATAGGGGATTTTTCAACTTCATGAGCAAATGCCACTGAGTAAAATTTGGATAATCTAAATATTAGAAATTTTATTAATGATTATGACTCATTTGTGAATGATACAATTGAAACACAAATAAAGTCTGAAATAGAGCTCTACTTGAAAGAAAAGGTTTTGGCTATGAGTACTACTTTTGACATTCTTAGATGATAGAAAATAAATGGGATTGAGTATCCAATTTTACAAAAAATTGTTAAGGATGTTGACAATCCCAATTTCAACAATAGCTTCAGAATTTGTATTTAGCACATGAGGTAGATTTTTAAATCCTCACCGTTCTAGGTTCCATGAATTTACTCTAGAGGCATTTACGTGTGCACAAAGTTGGTTGAAACACATGCAATAAGGTAATAAATAATTAAACTTTGTTTATTTAATAAAAGTTGTTTTACTTTTTGTTGTTTATTTTAATTATTATTTAACCTTTTAATCATTTATTTTCTTGTCATGTAGTTTCTATTGATATTACTTGACCAAAACAATATATAAACTTGGAAGACAAACGTTTGCAAAAAATATGGAGAAGTTGATTTCGATGACGAGGTTAAATGTCTAGTATTTATTTATTTTTTTAAAATTTATAGTGTATAATTTAATTTATAATTTTAATCTAACTAATTTTTGTAATTTTTTTTCACAAGTCTTGGAGAATATTGTTAATACATGATGATGATGTTGAAAGTTTAATTACAACTTTTATTATGTTGATTTTTTTAAAAGTTTATTGACAAGAATTAAATGTTTTGTAATATTTATTTATAAAAATTGTTATGTTAGATTTTTGTAATGTTAAAGACTTGACAAATTAATATTATATTTATTTGTGAAAATGTTATCTTTTTATTAATTTATTTACTTTATACATAAGTAAAATGCAAGTTATAGATGCGAAATGAGTATATAAATATTCAACGAGTACAAGAATGAGAATTAAAATTATTATCCGTACAAATATATGATATTAGATACACAATACTTTTAAATGTGGGTATAGAAACAAATATTATAAAATTCTATCCAAATCCTACCCATTACCATCCTTAGAATATATATATATATATAAAACAAGTTTATATATCATCAACCTTAACCAAAATCATGTACATATATTATAAGTAATTATCCTATCAAATTTTGAAATACATAAATTTATATATAATTAAATATAAAAATCCAAAACACAAATTACATTTTTTAATGCTAGGGTTAGTTGAGCACCTAAATAAAACTAGATATTCTCCGCTTCTGAACACTAGGTGAACCATGCTTTAGTCGTTGTGTTTTTCCCTGCCTTTAAATCTTGTGTGGCTCCTATACGTTAATATTGTGGCTTCTTTTCATCAACATGCTTTTGATTCTTCCACTATCTTTTTTTTTTTTAAATAAACAAAACAGAGAACAAAATAAGGGACTGAATTTCCTGTAAGAAATGATTAGTCATTGGAATGCAAAGTTTAAGGATATTATGATGGCAGATACCGTGAACGCATCGGACTCATGCTAGTTGGTTTTGCAAGTGGGGTTTTTGCATGGCGGTATTCTGGTCAGGTCAAGTAACGAAGTTGATGTGGCGGTGGAGGTATTATAGGTGAGAGCAACTCGCAAGATATATATGTGCTGTGTGGGGAATCTCCATTTAGTGGTCCTTATTCTTGTTTATTATTGTCCAAACATGGAATAATTCTTATCGCTTTAAGTCCATTCCATGAAAGTAATGCTTACAAATTAAATTCCTCCACCTTTTGCTGCTACCTTGCTTGTGTGTGGGTCAGGCAGGGGAAATCAAATCCAACTAAGTGCATGAAAATGGATTACGTACGTTGGTTGTATATCTGGGTCTGGGATCGATTAAATCAGGTAATTAGTTTCTTTTCTTTTTTTCAAAAGCATACATGGTTAAAAATTATGATCATCAATCAATATTGTCACTGATCACTGATGTAGCTGCAACCGCAACAACTTCCCATAACCATAATGATGTTGCAGCAATAATGGACATGACAAAATGACGTCCGCAAACAGCTCCATCAACCTAATTCTTTAAGAGCCGAAAATCTCACATTAACACACAAAAATGTGCTGTGCAAGACTGCAAGTGCTACTGGCCTATTGGGTAGTGATGGTTATGATGCCTGTGAATGGGTTAGGTGGTCGTTAGCTTACTTCGATGAAGCCGAGAGAGGTGAGAACTGAGGAAGAGAAAGATCCCAGAAAAATGAGCGTGGGGTTATATAAGGAAAAACTAATCTCCTTTGTGGTGTGGTGAGCATGAGTCAACAAGGGAGTGAAGGACACTAGTACACAATTCTACAAATAATGGATGAGCCCTTGAGCAGAAACTCAGGAAAATCAATGTTGGCTTTTCAGTGTTTTTTCATTTTGATATATATAAAGATAACTAGATAAATAGATAGAGAAATAGAGGGAGAAGGATGGATACATTTATTCCAATAATAAGTTTATATAAATTTATTTTACTAAATAAGTCATATTTTACATCAAATTTTAATGATTCAATTATTAAATTAAAAGTTTTTAATGTTATAGATTAAGTTTGTAAAGTTTTAACAATTTTAAAAATATTCTGTTTCATCAATTCAAATTATATGCATTAAAAACTTTAAATTTAACGATTAGACTATTAGAATTTGATGTAGAACATGTGAGTTATTGAACTGAGTAAATCTAGATAGACTTACTCCTAAAATAAATGTATTTATCCTATATACATACATACATACACACACATACATGAGGATGAATTTACTTTAGGAATAAGTCTTGATAGACTTACTTCACTTAATAATTCATATTTTATATCAAATTTAAATGATCTAACTGTTGAATTAACTTAATATATAAATAAATATATAATTTTTAAAAAATTTAAAAATCACACGTACTTTATTATATGAATTTAAATCAATGTATAACATGTTTTAATAATTATTTATCAATTTAAATTGTTGAAATGTAGTATCAAATAATTTTCAAATTTTTTAAAAATTTGTAAACTTTCAATCCAATGAATTATTAAAAAATTATACAAAAAATAAATTATTTGGTAGAATAAGTTGATCTCTTATTTATATATACATATATATATATATATATAATTAATTACTTAATGTTTTTCCTCATTTTTATTAAATGTGGCATTATGATCAAGAGATTTAATTTGATTGTTTGAATTGTGTGCGTGAATTATTGTAATTCCTTAATATTAAATTTTAAAATTAATATATTCATTGACAATAAATAATTTAGCATTTTAATTTTGAGCCACTTCACTTTGATTAAAAATTACAAACTCAACCTGATTCACTTGCATACCCTAATACTTACCAAACGTTCTCTTGATAGCGTCCATCTTAACTAGCTCCACGTCGAGATCCATCTTTATCGTTGAAATCGATATGATTGTATTTATCCCACCTTATCAACAAGAACCAAAATATGTAACACCACACATATATTATTGATAAATTTCTATCATTATCATAATCTTGAGTTCTCAACTTTCTCATGAAAATGATTTATTGAAAAATATAAACTTAATAAAATTTAATTTTACAAAACGAGAATAATTCATTCATATATTATATTTTGATTATATAATTGATTGATATGAGATTTTAAATATTATTAAAAAGATTTTATTTATAATAATATGTAAATTATATTTTAGATTTATGATAAATAATATATATTATAGTATAATATTATTTTTATTTATTGATAATTTATTTTTAAAT